GCTGTGTTCATGATTGGAGATGCTTGTTAACCGAGAAATAAATATGAAGCCTGAAAACCTAAAATCTTAATGGACTGAATCCGTTGTGTTTTTAACTAATCTCTGCTGGGTTTGTGGGGTGCAGACGGTTACCACAGCAACAGGTTGATTAAACGACAGTAAAAAGGTAGGAGAGGTTGACAGGGGACCATACACAACAAAACGAAAATAAGAGGATTGAAAGTTTTTTTATAAAAAAAAAATAATAAAAATTATATATACACTTAATACCCTAACCTAGAGGCACACTTTAACAAATATATAACCCAATCAGAGGTTAAAATTACTCAAAAACCAAAAACTACAACCCCAAAGAAAGACACTTAAAAATACTCCACAGAACTCATATTATAACTTACAAAAATAACTAAAAAATAACCCTAAACATTTTAACCTTAATCCCCAACATTATACATAAAAAATTCCGAAACAAACCAATACACTGAAAAAATCGTATTTAAGAACTTTAAGAATGACCGAATTCAACCTTAAAGCTGTCTCCACTGCAATTAACTTGTAATTAACCAGCAATTTCAAATGTTCAGAGTATTTTTTATGTTCCTAGAAATAAATATAACACTCAATAAAATAAAATGACACATATAATTTAATTTACAAGTAAGTCTTGACTTAAACACTAACTTAGTGCTGAATAACTTTCAGCACCAACTTTAAATAAATGTATTTGTAATTAATAGTAACAATAATAACAATAATAAAATTAGCAAACATTAACATTAGATATTCTCTGACTGAGTTATTTTTTGCTTTTTTTGCTGAGTTTGAAAGCAATGTGCCGGGAGACGGTCGTTCTCTCTCGGCTTAACGAGCCTTAACTCGCCGCACCCGATGACCCGGTTAACTGATAGACCGGGCGAGACGAGCCGGCGGCTGCGTGGGAGCGATAAGTACGAACACGTTCGAGCATGTTTGTAGTTAAGCTATATGTTAATAAACCGAGCGCATAATTCAGGTTTGCACAACTAATTTATCGCCTAATAAGTTTGTAAAAATTATTTTATTTTCCAAAAAGCACAATATACCCACTTCATTAATAGCTCTGCTCGCTCTCCTCCGCCATTACTGCTGGTGTTCGAACACGTCGCTTCAGCCAGCTGAGGATGCGCGCGCATATTGCACCCTGCTAGTGAACTAAGCCCGCGAAAATCAGGGGACAAGCCGTCAACTATCTTTTATTTTAAAACTAAATCGATTTTTTTAGAAATTTACTATGCTAAGTTACGAACAAATATGATTGAGGTTATATTAAACAGCTGAATTTAATTTACTTTATAAATTGTGCCCTTCCCCTACATCATTCCCCCGACCCACCCAACAGCCGTGTTGTAGCAACACCGAAGCTCTTTGTCAGAGCAACCTACCGTAATAAACATTTTAAATAACCATAAAAATAAATATCAAACATCTTCTAAATAAATTATATTTATTAATAAAATCTTATTCACGTTGAAACTTTACCTTCTTTTTACTTACCATGTGTTTTTTCAAAGTAGAGGAGAAGTCCGATATGCAACGTTCACAGTCATGTTGAAAATGGAGGCTTATGAAGAGGGGCGTGGCTTCTTCCAAGTTTCGTCTTTAACCCAAC